AGAACTCAGTCTCATTGTGGAGATGGAGTGAATTTATTTGCATTGCCTAATTGAAGAACTAAAAATTAAATGCAGTTTTCCCTTTTCTCCTGCACTCAAACTTTTTTTTTTCGCTGAGTTCTGGGGCAAAGCTACTAAGCAGCAGCTTTTCTGTGTGCTAAAGACAGTTTTGCTGCAATTTTGATGTTGAAACAAGGTAGCATTTGCAGCCTCGGATATTTTAAAGAAATACATGGGAAAAGCTGGAGTCTTGAGAGCAGTGGAGGTTCCCAGAGATGAAGGGTAGGAAGAAGCATCCTCCTGACATAATCCACGCCAGGTGGTTTCTCAGGAGTGGAAAATGCATTGTCCTTATAGAGAGCACAGTGAACAGTGCAGGGTGAGATTTTGTGTGGCAAAGAAGATGTGAGATGGACCCTCTTCTTGTCAGCTGTGGACTGAGCACATTTTGTGTTGATAACTCCCACATTTTTCCATGTTGGAAGGTCAATTCATCTTACTCAGTAAAAGAAAGAGCACAGATGATTAAATAAAATGGTCATGTGCTCGTGTCTTCCTGCAGCCATCATCTCTAGGAATGTTTTGATCTCTCCTTTTGCATGTAGTCTAAAGAAAATTTAGGAAGGATGCATCTAAGTGACTCTGTCCTACAGTACATAAGACCCAGCTGATGCAGTCAGTGGAGGTCATTCCAATTTAAAGATTTAAAATACCGCAGATGAACTGCATCTGGAAAATTCCTGCTTCTCTTCCTGAATTCCAAAAGAATCCCTGTGTGACCAGCTCAGCTGCTGCTCTCTCTGTTTTGAAGTCTAAATCCCACTGCTTTTCTGGGAGTGGCTTTCTGCTGAGATGCTCTTGTCCTTCCATGGGATGGATTTCTCTGGGGCCTCGGGAGTACTAGAAACTACATTTTTTTAACAAACAGTTTTTGCTCTATTGCTTTGAGGCTGTGTCAGATGTCAGCACCTCTCAGCATGCCACCAGCAGATGTTTGACAGGGAGGCCTAACAACTGGCTTTTATTAGAGCCATGTGGCATCTGGGAATTCTTGTGTGAGGGTGGGAAAGGGGAGTGTGTGCATCTGTCCATCCACTGCCTCCAAACTCACCTCCGCCTTGGCAAGGGTGTTCCACTGTCATGGGTCATCCTTTTCCTCTTCAGTCCTTCCCTTCAGCTTGCATTCCTGCTAACTTCCCTCTGCTGCTGCCTACTGCGAGATATTTAAAATTACCAGATGCTCCATTGTGTCTCTGTGGTAGCCCCATGCTTGTGTTGACATTTTTGGATCCTATCCATAGATTTGGGGGCTGGTTTTTATTCCGAAGTCATTCCTTTATATTCCTGTAGCCATTTCTTCCATGTTTCAGAGGAGAAAACAACCTCTTCCATGCATTTTAAAGCACTGATGTTAATTTAGTTTTATATTTCTATATTGCTTCACAGAGGAACTCAGTATTTCGAACCAAGACTCTTTGTTAATTCTTCTTTAAATGAAGTTAAAAATCCTCTCTTACCTGGATGGAATAACCACAAATGCTGGTGGAAACTGAGAATAGGCAACTCTTGTGTCTCGTAGTTGATGTCCTCTGACAGAGATAAAGATCTTTCATGAATTAATGAAGAGCAGTGACCATGTCCAAGGGGAAAGATCCAACAAAATGCCCATGAGAGAGGCAGAGAGTGCCACACCAGAGTAACTCATCTTTTTCCCAAAATCCTCTCAGATGTGAATGGGAAGTCAACCAAAGGCTCTGTATTTTTTTTTTTTCTGAAGACTCAGAGCTGGCCTGCTCTTAGTTGGTGTCCCTGCTTTGGAAAGTAAAGGATTAATTTCCACCTCAGTCTTTGGCGCAGCACATTAGTTTTATTTGTTCATAAATGTCCACAGCGGCTCTGAGGAATTAAGTTGGACATTTCTGTGCATGATTTAGGTAAATTTTCAGGACAGAAAAGAAGTGATTTGGTGGACAGAGGTGATGGAATAGCTGTTTCAAGAGAAATGCAGTTTGAGAAAAGTCACGCATTAGTGACCCAAAGCGATTATTTCAGTACTTCAAAATATAATTTCTGCACAGTCATGGGCCCAATTATTTATCTTTACAATTCTATATTACTGAATTTTTTCTTGTTCTTTCTTTGTTTTTCCATTTTTTTATTATTGTAAGAGGAGTTTTTCAAGGCTGCCCTAAGAACAGAGGCTGGACAGAGCTAAAGAATAAAGCAGGGATTTATTAAAGGATCTCCTCCATGGATCCACCTGGGGCAGCACCAGAGCCCAGCCAGGGCTGCACCCAAATGACCCAAAATGGTCCCAAAATGCACGAGCGCTCCCGGGGCTCTCCCTGGGATCAGTTCTGCTCCATTGGCACCTTGGAGTTCATTGTCCCATTCCAGCTCCAGCCCAGGAAGTCCCATCCTGATTGTTTTTCTCTCTCCAGCCCACGGTGTTTGTGCTCCTGGGCTGAGGTTTGGATCATTTGTCCTTGGTGCCCAGCTGGAGCAGGAATTGTTTTGTCTCTGCTCTGTGCAGAGAGCTCAGCATCCCCTGGTACGAAGCTCAGAACTGCACACTGAAGCAGAACAGAATCTGAAAAATATAAAAATATAAACCTGAGTCATAATTTGGGTTTATCTGCTTTAAATACAATTTTTAAAAGAAAAAAGTTTCACGCACAGCAAGGCTGTTGACTGTGGAGAGAAAATGAAACCAAAAGTAACATAATATGTGGAAGGCACTTTTCCCCCCAGCCAAATTAACCTGAGCTGAACCCTAAGGCAAATGTGACATTTAACCTTTCCTACTCCTGCCCAAGCTGTGCTGAGCTTGACCTCTGTCTGTGCTTTCCCATCGTCCTGGGGAGGGCACAGCTGAACACGCGGCGTATTTACAGTGCACGGGGATGGCTTGAGTTTCTTCTTTGAAGTGAGGCAGTGCTTTGGCCTGGGAGGTGGCAGAGGGGTGAGGGGTGGAAGGGAAGAAATGCCTCTGCTGTATCAACATGCCTGGATCTGGCAGGAGACGTGGCCACTGCAGAGTCTGAGGTCTGGGAGCTCCGAGCCTCCGGAGGTGGAATCTGCACCTGGCTTTGTCTCCCTGACCTGACCGTGCATGGAGGTCCTGCCACGGGAGGCAGGAGTTCTGAGCCTCCCTGGGTGCTGGAATTTGAAATGCAGGGAATTCTCAGAACTTTGGGCCTGTAAGGCAAAGTTTAGGATTAAACACAAAATTTGATCTGAGACTTTAAACTTAGGTGCTACAAGTGAGAATGTAGTTAAAAGCAGAGGTATGTTAAGTAGAAGAAAGTTTAAAGTTTTAAAGTACGGAACTCTAAGTTTGTGTGTTATAACATGACTAATTTAAAAAGCTTACACTGGTATGAGTCTATAAAACAAAATACTTAAGAATTAGGTCAAAAATATAAATATCTTTGTTAGTACTGTTATGTTAGTTAATAAATCTTTAAAAGGTCTTGTAACTAGAAGTCTTGGGACTTTTTGAGTTATGTGGTGGAGATATGATCTGAACTCACCTTTCCTACCTATGTAAAAGATAAGAAAAATAAATCACATTATCTGAAACAACTTAGAAGTCCTGTCTCTAACTAATTCAAAATTCTTCACACATCCTCACACGTGGAGGAGAAACAGCCCCTTCATGGAATTGGTATGAAAAGAATGAAATCTGGGAAAGGTTTTCTGTTTGTACTTCAATGCTTCCTATTTTATAAAATAACAGCAAAATGAGAAATAGGTAGAAAAAGGTGCTGTACAAAGAACAATTGTTCTTTAGAGACATTGCTGATGGATTCTATTGTCATGAGCACTTAACATCCTTTTTATTAAGTGAGAGAATTCAGTGACCTAAAAAATGGGTTCCTCAATCACTTAACACACCTTAGGGCACTGAAATATAATATCAACCTTTAGAGTATGGTTGTTTCCCTGAGTAAAAGCTGCCTGAATTTTGTTGGAGTAATTCTGTGTAAACAGAAAAGCAAAGGCATTTTGTGTGTTACCATGGCTTTATATCCACCTCAGAAACAGTCAGAAAGATTTTGTTTCATAGTTTGAAAATTGGATTTTCTGTCATTGATCTGTCACTCCTGAATTTTCCTGTCACATTTCGTCCTACCTTTCTTAAAGGACTTTCCAAGAGCTTCCCTTGCTCCAAGCAGGATCCCAACTTGGCTCTATAGTTTGGTGTAGTCTTCTCTCCTCTGTCTGCACTGAACGCTTTGAGTGTGAACATTAAATATTCCCATTGATTTTCAACTCTATTTCCTAAATTTTACTTGGAGTTGTACTGTTACCTTGTACTGAACCTGCAGCTTTCTCAAAGTGCCCATGTTGGCATTTCTGCTCTTTCTCAGTGTTATTTGCCCTCAGTAGAAGGCTCAGCCCTAAATGCTGAGGGTCAGAAACTTGTGTGTCTTCCATTGGCTAAAAAGAGCCACAAGACACCTTACAGGGATGCCAAATTATCCTATACATTCCATGGAAACACTTTATTCAAGCCCTCTGAAATGCCCTTTGCCAATTGCTGTATCTCTTGAATGTGCAAGGATCTTTGGCACCTACATATCAATTAAAAGTTCACTGAAAAAACTCAACACACAATCTTTAACTGAAAAAACTCAACACACAATCTTTAATGGGATGTGATGATGTGATTCAGCTCTGCTGTTTCAGGCATCTACTTTCAGGTGATGAGACAAAGGGGATCCTGAGCTTTGTTAAAGGCACTGAGCAGCTCCCACAAGGAGAGATCCAGAATAGGTGCTTAATTTGCAGTTTCCTGCTTTAGTCAGGTGAATTCCATGTGATGCCCTGGAGCTGAGCAAGTACAGCCACAAACCTTCTGTATCAGTGGGTGTCTGTGCCTGAATAAATCATGAATGGGAACTGCTCTGAGACTGCTGGGGCTTGTTGTACTCATGAAAGAGAAAATCTGTTCTAGGTTGCTGCTTTACCTGCTTGGTTTCTTTCTGTTTATCCAGATAGTTCTCCACTGTGAATCCTCTGTGAACCTGCCCTTGTCTGTTCTGCTGGAAAAGTACTGCGAAGCTTTGTCAGCCCGCACCAATGTCACAGGTATTTACTCCTCTGTTTCTTGGTGGCTTCTTGTTACTGGAGGATCCACTTTCAAAGTGCCCTTGCTCCAGGAACATCTTCTCCTGCTGAGATAAACATACTGTCTCCAGCCTTGGCTTTTCCTTGGTGACAATGTACAGTGATGTGACGAGGAAGGAGAACTTGGAATTTTGCACACCTGGAGAGAGCTTCAGAGGAACTGCTGACAGCCCTTTCTCAGAGCTTAATCAGTTGAATTAGCTGTACTTACTGACTGATGTGGTAGTTGAAGATTAGTACAGTTGAATTAATTAGTATAGTTGAAGTGTCTTGTCCATTTATCCAGACCAGTTTATAGAAGCAGGGCAAAGCACTTGTCTCTTGGCTAAAATACGCCAGCACAAAAATGATGCTGTAAGAGATGTGAAACTGGATCCAGCTTTCTTTCAGAAGGGGGAGAAGCACACTCAGAGCCACCCTCCTCTGCAGCATGACTTGGGGGGGTGTGCTGCAATGAATGGTGCTTCTGGGGAAAAAACTAAATTTCTTCCCTTCCTCTTCACTTTCTTTTTCCCCCTGGTGAATATTCATGGAGGAAAAGAGCTTAAGATATAATGTAAGTGTTATCATTCAGCCAGGCGTCCATCCCTGGGAAACAACAAAGGAAATGAGGCTCAGGGAATTAAAAATCTTTCTGTAAAATGTGTTGGATCAGTGGTGTTTTATTCTGACTTAATTCCTTCAGGACCATAGGCTGATCTGGATATCAGGCTGAAGTGTGAAAGTTGTGGTGCCTTAACTGCCTCTCAATTTGCATATAAATGGGTGTGTTGACCTGTATTATGAATCTGCCCCAAGCTCTGCCCCTTGGTGCCACTGTGTTCCAGGGAGCAGATTTGTTTATATCAGTTTAATGACCATCTATTCCATTCCTTAGCTGGAAACAAAGGAAAGACAAATGAGGTTCCATATTTGGACCCTTCTTTTAGGTGTTCTTTGCCTTTTGAATGTGTTTGTAAATATTGTCGTAAAACTTGCCATTTATTCATGAAGTGTTTTTCCTTGTGCAGAGCTTCTGTTTTAGAAAAAAAACCACAAATTTCATGCCAGGCTGTCTTAGAAGTCAGCAAACAATTTATTTTTCAGTTGTTGACAAAATATAATTTTCTGGACTGTTTATGTGATGCATGAACACACGGCATATTTTCCAGTGGAGTGTGGCTACTGGAACAGAATTTTAATGGGAAAAGGGAAGGGAGAAGCTTCAGAATCCTCTCTTCTATTCCACTATCTTTGTGAGGCATCACTGATCATAGGTAAAGAAATGCTCTGAAATTAATGGAAGTTGATATTTATAGTCAGTCTAACCTGTAGCTTTTTTAGAACAAACTTTCTATGATACTTTAAAATCCTGAGAACCTGTACTGTGCTTTGAGAGTGGATTTATAAATGTAATAAACCCTAAATATAGTAAAATATAGTAAACCTCAAATCTGCTCCATGGTGAGCCTCAGGTGTAAGTATGAAGTGAACTTTGGGGCACCCTAGGGACAAAAATTCATGTTTTTTGCTTAGCATGGACCAATGTTCTTTTCTCAGGGTGGTTGGTCATCAACAAGAACATGGTGGTTCCCATGATTGATTTTTTTTGTGCTCCATGAAAACTGGATTTCCAAACAGTCTGGGCTATTCAGCTATGAAACATCTCATTAAAAAAATGGAGGTCTCCAATATAATCACCACCTCTTCATGGTCAGTAGAGCTCTACTGGTACAGCTAAAGACCAAAGCATGATTTAATCCTAAATTAAAACCTAAAATAGAGCAGAAACTAAATGCTTTTTCATTATTGGGGTCCAAGGATAATGAGCTTCTGTAACTAAGTCTGCTCTAATATTTCAATGTCCAAAATGAGGTGAGCTGTGTTGCAAGCCACATTTTGAACCCTGGTAATGACAAGGATGTGTCACATGGGAACATTGGTGAGCTCCATTCAGCAGCGTGGATGGAGAGAACCAGACCACAGAGCCTGCAGTGTCTGAATATTTTCTCTGGCTCCTGTTCTTTGACACACTGCAGATATGTTTTAGAAGGGAAAAAGAAATCAAGAGAAGAAACCCAAGGAGAGCCATATTGAACAATCTTTATTTAGCTGGGAGAACAGTAAACATTAAGCTTTGTAATTAGTTATCTTCCCTGTTTCTTTTCCAGAAGATGCTGTTAATTAGTCCAATATGCTAATTTCCTCTTCTTATAATTACTAATTTCACCCCCCAAATATGTTCACACTAAGTATCCCAAACAGATGGCATAAAATGCTTTTGAGAATGTAATGCATGGGTAATTTCACAGAATGGCTCAGAGAATGACATTGTAAATTCACTCGGAAGCAATTTAAACCAAGAAATACTTTTTCAGAGTTGGAAAGCAGCACAACTCATTTTCTCTTTTGGGCATTTTTTCCTTGAAAAATCCCTAGATGGCACATTCAGGTTTGCTTGGATTCAGTTCCTGAGCATGATGGTGTTGTCAATGAATGGTTTAGGTCATTACAGAATCTCCATTAAAGCCATTAGCAAAAGTATGATTAGCATGAATTTGTAAAAGTGTGAGCAAATTTCAGTGTCAAGGTCCACTCTATCACTTTTTACATGGATGAATCACACAGAGGAAAATCGAGTTAGAATTGAGCTAGAATGATTTACACAGAGATGAAAAATGCAAAAGGGTAAAAGGGACTCTTCTGATGAATCATGAGGGTCAGAGTAGACCTCCCTTGCTTGTTGAAGTCTTTACAGAGCTTTGGTGCAGCTCAGTCCAATCTTAGTCCCAGACCTGGTCAATGATTTATATCTAAAGGATTACAGATGTAATTAATGAGCATCACCTAAAGCACCACCATCAAACATATCCCAGCAAAAGGTGATCTTAATAGGATGTTGTAAAAACACCAGTTTACCACAGATGGAATTTTTACATGGCTCTGAACCAGCCATAGTCTGAGGTTTGTTCACAGTTTTTGGGTGGATTGCTGGAACCCTGGACACTGAGAATTTCAGACTTTCTGTGCTAAAAGGCACTGACCCCCAGGAGAACACTGCACTGACCTGAGGCTGTGGAGAAACTTCCAAAATGGAATGACAGAACTGGGATTGTGAGTGTGGAGTTTGAATAGAAGTCTGTGATATCACAGGGTGGAAAACTCAGAGTTTAAGAGTTTAGAATATAGTAATATATGTGAAGCAAGATAGAAGTTTTAAGGCAGTAGCTGGTCCTTCTTCACTTTCTTCTCCATGAGTAGTTTGAGTGGTATTTTGTAATTAGACAGAAAAGTTTGCACTGTGGGACATGAGGGGTTAGTTATTAGGTTAAAAGTGAAAATACTTTGTGTCATTTCTTAATTAATAGTTTAGCTTTTTTTTTTTTAATTTAGCTTTTTTTTTACCTTGTAAAGAAAAATAATTAGCCATTTTGTACCTTATTAGTGAAACACTGCAAAACTCACGCCTTGTAAGACTTCTATATAGATAAGAAATAATAAACACCTAAGTCTAAAATAAATATCATCTTGAGATCTTCAATCCCAGCCTTACCAGAGGCAGAAAGAAACCAAAAACCAACAGTGGATCAAAAGATTTTTAGCAATTCCTAATCACCAACTAATTTAACATTTACAGAGGCTGCCAGTAGAATTTATTACAACTACAATAGTCAATCACAGAGCTAAGATGGCAACATTCATAATGCACTTTCTGTAGGTATCTAAATTTCCTGGCAATAATCTGGGTAAGTAATTACTGGATTTTTTTAAATTACTGTAACAATGGAAGGTAAGAAATGTTCCAAGGCTGTCAGAGAATGACTGAATATTCCCACTGTCATTTCCCACCCAACATGGTCCCACCCTGGACACACAAAAGTCCTTGGTGTGGGGTCAAGGGACACTTCACCACCAAACTTATTTCACCAAGGCCACAGCCTAGCAGGAATTCGTGGATCATAGAGCAATCCAGAAGAGATCTGGGTAAAGGGGAAAATGCACCACTCCAGATGGGAAGTGCCTTTGTGAACCTGAAGAAAAAAACCTGTATTTAAGTATTACTTCACTCTCATATGTAAGACAAATTGGTTGAAATGGCAGAATTTATTCTTTTTTAGGGGACTCAGCTTAAGATGCTTCTGATGTTGTGATTTCCTGGTCTGGTTTGACTAGAACTACAGTGGTAGCCAGGATGAGCAGATGGCTATAATTCTATATGTCAGTATGATACAAGACTGAGTTATAATAGCTTGAATTTTTATAGGAACTTGGAGGACAGAGGCCTCAGTTCACACTGATATTCCATGCATTGTGGAATGTTTTGACTTTCTCATCTAACGTGTTTTCACAGGAGTCTGCAAGTCTTGGCTTGCATCTGATCCTACTTAATTTTGATCTGCATGGAAATCTTTTGATCCCCCTATTTGTTCCATTGACACATTTGACCACACAATCTTTAAGACCTTGTTAAGAGACAATTCATCTGAAAACAGGAATTTTATCCAAAAATAAATCAACCAGCATGTGGAGGGCCAATGCTACTGTGCCATATCAGTATACAAATTATATTCTCTGTTTTTCTTCTCTTTCTTCCCTTTCAGTCAGTTTGAAGGTTGCAGTTTGCATTTATGGTGTTTAAGTGTATTCAGACAACCCAGTAAATGAGAGGCAGCAAATCTGATGTCATGCATTTCACTTCAAGAAGTCCTGGGATGCACTAAAAAGAAAAATTATTTCTTCCTCCTGGTGACTGCATTCTCTTGAGCTGGGGGTTGGTTCCTTGCCCTCACTCTGGTCATTTTGTAGTGAAAGGCTGTTGTCTCCCAGAAATGGTTAGAACATCCTGATGCTGAGTGGTGCAGGATTCCACCTGTCCAAATCCTGGCTTACACCACTCCTGTGTTGTTTCCTCAAGTCTCTTGGGAAGCTGTAGTTTAAGGAAGGTGTTGGTGGGTGTGGGATGAATGTATCCAGGGATGGGT